GCAAAGCGCATTGAGTGTAATGGGCGTGAAATGCTCCAGGTGCTTCGCACATTGCACCCGAGACCGACTCTGGAATGAACTACACGGCTCCCAGGAATCTCTCCTTGCAACAAGTGTGAAAATTTTGGAGTTTCTATATACGCATTTTGTTCTCCGAGTTTTGCTCCATTTTGCTCCATGATTGGCGAGTTTCGCTCCATTACCTGGAATGACCTACGAGCTCCTAAGGATCTCTCCTAGCCCTCCCCCACACCAGCGAAAATTTTGTTTGATCATATTCATTCTGTTCTCCGAGTTTCGCTCCGTTTTGCTCCATGATCGGCGAGTTCTGCTCCATTACCTGAGCTGCTTTCGGGTGCCTTTGAGCACTCAGGCGCTCTGAAGCTGCTCTCATTTTCCTCGCCTCTTTTTCCTGATGCACCTGTAACTGATTTTCAAGCGTTTGAGTGCAAAGCGCATTGTTGTCTCTGGTTTCACTAGCTTTGTTTGTTTATTCGCACCAACAAGGCACCAACTGACAATTTCTACACCAAACGTGTTTCTTTATCCGAGGTTCATCCCTATATATTTTTTTTTTGTATGGGTCTGACAGAGACAAACTTTTTGGTGCACCTGGTGCAGACTGGTGTAACTTTGGTGCAAATAGACAAATAGAGCCCGCAAGAAAGAAGTTAGTGCAAAATGGAGCAAAACTCGATATGAGTAATTTCAAGTTTCAAAATTTTCACTGGGGGGCAAGAAGAGATTCTTTGGAGCTTTGTAGGTCATTCCTGGTAATGGAGCAAAACTCGCCGATAATGGAGCAAAACGGAGCAAAACTCGGAGAACAAAATGAACATGTTCAAATTTAAAAAATTTCACCGGGGGGGCTAGGAGAGATTTTTGGGAGCTCTGTAGGTCTCTCCTGGTAATAGAGCAGAACTCGCCGATTATGGAGCAAAATGGAGCAAAACTCGGAGAACAAAATGAGCATAATCAAATTTCAAAATTTTCACTGGGGGGGGCTGGGAGAGATTCTTGGGAGCTCTGTAGGTCATTCCTGGTAATGGAGCAAAACTCGCCAAATATGGAGCAAAATGGAGCAAAACTCGGAGAACAAAATGAGCATGATCAAATTTCTGAATTTTCTTGCGTTAATTCAGCCTCCCCCCACCTATTAGGCCACATAGTCGCTCCACTGTAATGGAGCAAAAATCGAAATTAGTGGAGCAAAATGGAGCAAAATGAGAGCAAAATTATGGGATAATTTTCATTCAGAAATTTTCTATGGGGGGGCTAACTTAACTGACCCAGAGGACCTGGATTACATGTATAGTAAGCCAAAGCAAGACAGAATATCTTTGTATAGGAGATGATAATGAAGACCTGGATCTTAGCTCTGAAAAAGTGTGAGGAGTATAAATACTTTGGGAAGCTTGATCTTAACAGAGGGGGATATAGGTACCAGTGTAACACAAGGTGAAAAATGCGTTAACATTCTGAATTCTTTACTCGGCAGTAGTCAGACTTTAATGAAAACAAAAAAGACGGAGTCTACGGAGCAATTGTAGAGCCGATATATTGACGTAAGGAGCTAAATGCTTGCAGCTACCAACAGACTTTTTCAGATGGGCATGTAGAGTTTCAAGACTGGAGCATATGCATAACGCTGAAATTCGAAGAAGAACAGGAAGAATAATATAGAACCATCGAAAGAATAGATACATGACAGCTCATGTAAAGAGAGCATTGATGTAGGTTCCATGGAAGAGAGGAAGACCGGCGTTAACATGAATAGATAACTTTAAAAAAATATGAATCATAGAAGGATGGACGAGGAAGAATAGAAAAACCGTAAAAAATGGCGATGATGATGGCTTTCACTCAATTGGTTGCTGAGATTCCATATAAAACTGCGTGAACTATGGAATCTGGTGTCATGTTTCGGTACCAGTTTCCTCTTTCTTCGGCTGTAGTCTCTCGAATAAATAGGGAACTTTGGGTACGGTGGGAGGAAAGATAGGGGCACTACCTTGATGAACTATCTAGAAGAAAAACATCTATATGCAGTGAACTCGTTTTATAAGAAGAAACCGCAAAAAAAGTGGACATGGCTCAGTCCTAATGGAACAACGAGAAATGAAATTGACTACATACTGACTACTGAAAAATATATGATTAAAGATGTAACAGTCCTGAACATATTCACCACAGGCAGCGATCACAGAATGGTCAGAGCAAAAATGCGTATCGATGCAACTTTGAAATGAAAACAAAAACTAATGGAAACAAGGGACAACTAGACATGAGCAAACTCCCAGAAAATAAAACCATATACAAAGAGAGACTGAAGCAACAACTGACCCACAACTTGAACAGCGATAATGAAAATATAGATAAAATATACGATACATTAGCGGAAACCATGGTTAGGGTAGGAAAAGAAATTGCACAAAAAGATAAAAAGGAGGAAGAGACAAAGAAACTTATGGAAAGAAGGCGGAAACTGAACGAAGAAGGGAAAAGGAAATCGATAGAATACTCAGAAATCAATAAGACCATCAGGAAAATGATAAAAGAAAACAAAAGGAAGAACCAAGAAATAGAAATAGAAAGAGTCATAGAGAATAACAGGAATATGAAATGCTTAAGACCGACATTAGGAAGATATGAAATAAATAAAATAAAAGACAAGAACGGCGTAGAAACTAATATTAAGGAGGATATCATAAATATCACACAACTCTTTTATACAGAACTATATCAAACAAAAAAGGAACCACCGGAAGAAATAGTAGAACAACTACAAACTAAAATAAAGAATGTAAACTCAGAACTACAGCTCGAAATAAGCAAATCGGAAATAAAGAGGGCTCTGAAAGAAATGAAACAGCAAAGCACCTATAAAAGACGGAGTCACGGCAGAAATGCTAAAATACGGTGGAAAAACGGTTATCAATACTTTCCATACCTTCCTAAATAAAATACTGAAAGAAAAGAAAATCCCAAACAACTGAAATGAATCCATCCTTCATAAGAAAGGTGATAGAATAGACTTAAAAAACTATCGACCTATAACACTCCTTAATGTAATTTATAAGCTCTTCACAAAAATTCTCACCATCAGACTAACAATAAAATTCGATGGTCACCAATCGAAAAAGCAGGCCGACTTCAGAAAGGGTTTCAGTACAAGTGACCACCTATTAACCATGAAAGTCCTAACAGAACGAGCCAACGAATATCACATCCCACTATATATTGCATTTATCGACTTCGAAAAGGCTTTTGGTAGTGTTGAACACTGGGCAGTAAAGACCTCATTAATTAATAGATAGACAAAACTACAGATACACAGGCCTAATAACCAACATATATAGCGAAGCAACAACAACTGTTAAAACAGACAGGGTGACACAATATCACCTAAACTGTTCAACCAGGCCTTGGAAGATGTTTTCAAAAAACTAGACTGGGAAGAAAAGGGTATAAAAATATGCGGACAACACTTGAGCAACTTAAGATACACGGATTATATCGCCCTAATAACTGATAAGGAAGAAGAACTGACGGAAATGCTGGATAAACTTGACACAGCAGCTAAAAACATAGGTCTTATGAACTACGCTAAAACTAAAACAATAACGAACCCAGACGATGACATCACAATCAGAATAGGACAAGAGAAAATAGAACGTAGACGAATATATATATCTAGGACAAATTATTAAACTCAACAAAGAAAACCAAACAGCAGAAATCAAGAGACTAGTTGGATTGGCTTGGGCAGCATTCGGCAAATGGCAATGTATACTTCCTGTCCTCACCTATGGATCTCAAACATGGACACTTACAAAGTCAAACATGGATAAAATAACAAAAGCACAAAGATCAATAGAAAGACAAATGTTACGTGTGGAACTGATAGATAAAAAGAGGAACGACTGGATAAGAAATAAAACGAGAGTAAGAGACGTTAGAAAGAAGGTAGCAAAATTGAAATGGAAATTCGCAGGTCACAATATCAGACAAAAAGACGACCGATGGAATAAATAAATTTTAAGCTGGAGACTTTGGGAGAATAAAAGAAGTAGAGGAAGACCCCAGATGAGGTATGCTGATGACCTGAAGAAGCACGCTGGAACCAGGTGGATGAACATGGCAACAGACAGAGAAGAATGGAGAAGACTGAGGGAGGCCTACGTCCAAAGATGGACTGAAGAAGGCTGAATCGATAGATAGATAGTCTCTCGAATGGACGTGTGCAAAATTTGATTTGGGTCGTGCAAAATTGTGTAAAATTAGTGCAAAATTATGAAATAATATTTTGTTTTAAGAGCGGGGCAGCAAACTTGACTGACCCTTGAAAAGCAGCATCAGAGAATGAGAATAGTTATCGTGCAAAGGTAATTTTACGTAATACACCAGAGAACCAAATGTTAATTTTTGTTTACTTTACGGAAATACACATGAGAGGGGCAAACCATGTATTTGTTTTCCGAGTCCATCAGCTAGAACATGAAAGTTTAATTGAAAATATATCAACCTTCTTCCCTCCCCCAAACATCAACGATACTAACTTTTTAATAAAAAATATCTAATTAGTATAAACCACAGGGAGTCTTTATAATTAATCATAATTCATGGCTACTTGGTGTCGTCTCAGATACACGCAAAATAAAATAACTAATTTTGCCGTTGACATTTAATTTTAATTAACAAACCCCGCAAAATTGTCAAATCAGGAACAAAAATTGCGTTCCAAAAGAACGAAAGTTAATTATTTTCATCGAGATAAAAACAGGTGTGCCGCCAACGCTATCAAAATTTATATATTATTTTTAGAAATTACTTATTGCCCCAGTTGTAAATTTATTTATTTTCCCCGCATTTTGGATAGGTAATAATTTTCTGGGGCAACATTTATTACCAAAACCAATTTTGATAAAATTTAAACACGAATAATTAATCAATTGTCACGTAGGAATATTTTCCATGGACTACTACTAGCGATATTTCAGGTACAAAGACGATCACGAGTTCTTCAGGTACACCCCTGCAGGCGAAGACATGGTTACATTTCCAGTACCAGGAGTAGACGTAGATGACAGAGAGTCCAGGTGTAACAGGGACAGTTGCGATTTACTTTTGATCAATTTAAAGAGGCCTCAAAGTTCTGGAGCTTACAGATGCGAAGTTTCTAGCGAGGCACCTGCTTTTAGATTGGCGTCTGAGACACATAATGTTACAGTAGCAGGTAAGAATTGTCAAAGCTATGATTATCCTGTAATAATATGATATTTTTTAGCTCTACCTGAAGAACCTCCAGTGATAGAAGGTCTCAAGAGCGCATATTCTTTGGGAGATTCCTTGGTTGCCACGTGTACTTCGGGTCTTGGAGATCCCAGACCAGATTTGAAGTTTTACATAAATAAACAGTGGGTGAGTACAGAGAGTTTGGCAGTTCTTAGGTCTTGAGTCGTTCAATATATCAAAAATAGTTTAATTTCTTCGCTATTCCATCTACAGACGCGTTTTGCATTGGATGACTAAAAACATCGCATCATTAACGCGATCCATTATGAATGAATCCGAAATAATAATTGAGTGAGTTTACACCAAAATATATTCGGTACATTTTAATTTAAAATGAGAAAATATAAATTTAAAATTTCTGGAAGTTGCCAGCAAAGTTTATATACACGCAATGCGCGAGCTTCAAAAGAAGACACCAGCTAAATATTCAAACCAATGCGCCTTATGTATTGTTAATCAAAAAGTTGCAACGAGAAATGTTGGGGCTATATAGAATATCAAAAAGATAAGATGCTCTTTTGAACGGTATTTTGTGTTTTAGAATTTATTGACTCTCGTCAATGATTAATGTAATAGAAAACTCGCCTTTCTAGGCTAAATGTTGTTCAAACTGTATGTATATATATTCTTTCTCCTTCAGGTGACCAGTGCTTTTATCCGCGATGTCAGCCCTGAAACAATCTACCAAGATCCAGAGACCGGTATCCAGCTGCGCAGATCAAAAATCCAGCTACGAATGATTATGAATAGTAAAATCGGCGGTGCCAATATTAACTCACAAAGCGACTTATCTTGCGTGTCTTCGATAGAAGGTCTGGACCCGAACGCTGCGCCTCCTGTGACTACGACGCGTACTTTTACCCTAATTGATCACAGTCAGGATGTGAACAATGAAAAGTTGTTGGCCGAAGGAATGTCCGGATCTGAGTCGCACGGATTTTCGTTGTATATTGTTTTCTCGCTCACACTGCTTAATTATTTATTGCTCTAATTGACTAAGTATGTCAATTTTTAATTAATAATTAATCATTAGGGAAGTGTTTACACACCATATCACCGTATCCTAATCTAGAAACACGTTTAGACCAAAGTTTTGTATGTGATAAATGTGGTTTTATCAGAAATGGATTTTTTTCTACTGAAAAGACTGATGTAATGTTGGAGGGTTTTAATTGATATTCGATTGGGTTTTTCGTTGATTTTTTTGAGATATTAGTGCTTTAGGTATGAAAATTTAGGCTTGAGGTAATTTATTGGTCAAAAATTCAAAAGTCAATTAAACATCACTTAACAAAATGTTCAGACAACATCTTCCAGAACTGTAGAATTGTTTGAGCTAATTTAACTTAACAGAAAAGCTAGAGCATTAGAATCTCAATTTAATTAAAAATTACTTGATTTTAAGTTTTTTTTTTTTTCAATACAGGTTTGTCGTTGTGGAAGCAATCTCATATCTCAGAAATGGCTTAAAATGTTTTTCAAAACATTGCTTTACCAAATACTTACTGCATATTATATTAGGTACCTTACTTTTTTACTTATACTTACAGTGGTAGTAAATTATCTTATATAGCCCAAAATCGATTGACTGAAAATGAAAAAGTAGTTCTACACAAAACAACAAAGTTATCTGCAGTACCTTCCCAGTACCTTTTAGCAATGTTTTTTCAATTTTCTAAACACAACCCTGTATGTAGCTATATTTCTCACATGGTGCTGGTTTCTTTATCAACGGCTGGAATTTAATTATCGTCACTTTTATTTGAAACCAGAAATTTAATTTTCACCACATAATATAACTTATTTTTGATTGAGTCCAAGTTGAAATGAAAACTAAAATAGTACCAAATACGTTTTTGGAAGCTATTTTAGTTATACATACCTAGTATATCAACCTAAACGCCAGAAGATATAAAACTTGAAAAAACTAAGAATTTAGAAAATTTAATATTTTATCCATTAGCTAGGTACTGAAAAAATATCTCCTTCAATAAATATTGAGCAAGCTAAAAGGAGAGGAGTTATATTATTATTACCTACTTATACACTACCTATACTATATACTAGTGGGAGACCTAAATTCTAAAATAGTCCACAAGCAAGAAGATTCGGAGTTTGTATAGTTGGTCCTCACAGACGGTGGCGGACTGGCACAGTAGAACTAGGTCGGCTTCGCTCACCTTAGGGGCCCGCGCCCGGTAATATTGGGTCTATATCTTTTCAAGGGCATAACGCATTCTGCACCATAAAAAATTGTAAAAACTTAATAACGGTTACAGTTCGGGTTAAAGTTAAATAAATGATAAAAGTGTTGCTTAATAGGGTAATGGTAATAATATATAGCCATTATGTTGCGGTCATAAGCTCTGCGCAACCGCCTCGCAGACTACTGAACTCAGCGCATGTGACTTTTGGGCACGTTTGTTGCGCCCCAGCAATATATGTATGACTGGGCTGCTTGTGAAGTGTGATGGTCCCCAACACTTGGGCGTAATGGACAACTTACGTGCACAGAAACACTAGTTGTCCACCCCGTCGGACGTGGTTACGCACACCACCCCGCTTAGAGCGGGTGCAACCTAAAAATACAACTTGTCTTGCGTAACGTCATAAACACACGCAAAAGTTACAAGACCTATCTAAACTGACGCAGTGATAGGGGTGAGAACATAGAAACAATACGCTAATCTCGATAATATACGATAAGCATGAGTAAATGCGCGCCCAGCGCCGGCCAGCGGACTCAGTTTGTGCATATGACGTCACAGTGCTATGAGTGGGAACTTTATACCACGTATCTTCGCAACGGTTGGTCATAGCCTAGTGCGGTTTGAAAATCCATGTAGTCTACATGCACCATATTCCTTGTGTTCGGGGTCATGAATCCCCTTCCAAGTCAAGTTACGGACTCGGGCTGTCACACCCTCCCAGCTTTATGGAGCTAGAGTTCGCCTCGTTGCCAAGAATTCTGGGATAGTGGCGATGGAGTGGCTCTGCTGTTCTGCTTAACTGGTCAGGACAAAACCTTCCATAAGGTAAGACTGTAAGACACCTAGCCCCCTCTGTTGCCAGAGTACTCGTTCGAACGAGACGAGTCGCCATTCGGTTCTTTGACATAACATTCTGTGGGAGAAGCTCAAGAGCTTTGCCCAACATTCCGAATGGCCTAAGCACTGACGAAAGTGGGATCGGTCAGGAGTTCAACTCCCTGGGGCCCTTGCGAGATAGTGGATACAACGATTCCGAGTTCCCGCGTTGCCAGACTTCAGTGGATATTCTGGAAAACAGAGACGTACCTACCAACTATTTTTAGAGCATATTTTTATATGCGATTATACAAACGAGGGCCCCTATGAAATGGGGGCTCGGTCGGCATTTGCCTACCAGCCGACCTAGCCAGTCTGCCACTGCTCACAAATATGGAGATAGGAACGAAAAAGGTAAAACCCTCAGAATTTCTTCTTCAACGGGGGCTATATGTCATAAGCACCTATTTTAAAAAAAAATGGACTTGGCATGAACAAAGAAATTGACTTTATAATTACATACTACCAAAAAAGAGGTTGTTCAAGACGTAACTGTGTTAACCCGATTCGCAACCGGCAGTGACTACATCGAAGATAGTCTTGCACGTGAAGAAGGAAAGAAGAAATATGGTAGCAAGGACAGAAAAAGTCAAATACCTACACTCCAATTACTAGCACAAGGATATACCGGAAAGAAATAGAGAGTACTTAAATTACAAAATTATGTGCAAGATGAAACAATATCAGTGGAGGTATCTACTAAAGAAGCTGCAAGAGAAATGTGGAGATAGTCAACCAAGGAAATCTAAAAAACTTACCGAAGACACAAGAAACTTAACGCAAATAAGAAGAAAAAAAGATGAACACATAACGAACGAAAACCTAAAGAGTTTGAACAAAACGATTTCAAATGCCATTAAGGAAAGTTATACAATAAAGAAATAACTAATATTATAGAACGAAACAAAAGCCTGACAGTGGTAAAACGGAAGTTGAGAGCAGGAAAGAAGAATATTCACACATTGGAAAATAAGCAAAGACACATCATACATGAACAAGAGGAGATTCTGAAAACCATTGAAGAGTATTATAAATGATTATAGTCGAAGCGGGATGATTCCATCCAAGATGTAGAGATTCCAGTAATACAGAATCAAGGGTCAGAGGAACGTCTAGATATAAGTGATATAACCGAAGAGGGAATTGGAACAGCCATAAAATGCACGAAGAACGCAACAGAACCCCTGGAGAAGATGATATTGTAACAGAAATGATGAAACTGGGAGGTAAATGCGTCATGAAAGCCCTAAAAACTCTTTATAATATTCTTGCATAAAAAGGGAAGCATGATAGAAATTGGAAACTATCGTTCTATCAGACCTATCGATCTTATTTATATAAGCTTTTTAGGAGAATAATTACTAAAATAATGGGATCTAAGCTAGCTTTTCACCAACCACTAGAGCAAGCCGGATTTGGAACAAATGTAAAAGGAAAAAGGAAGGAATATCTACCTAAATCTGGATCTTACGTGCAAACAGCAAGAAACTGACAAACGGATCTGGAGCGAATTTAATGACCGAAAATCCAAAGGCGAGAATGGCTTTCGAATAAGGTACACTGGGGGTGTTCCGCGCATTGTAGACATTCAGGGAAACTGAACACGGACGGCCAGCGCCCTAGCCGATTACCTAAACTCAACATTTATTACCAGAATGCGGGTGACTTGCGAACAAAGCTCACTACTCTCACATGTAACGCCGCTTTGCATAACTACAAGGCTATAATGTTAACGGAAACCAACTTGTCTGAAGACATCTCAAACACGGAGCTGGACTTGGGTGACTATTTCATCTTTAAGAAGGATCGCTCGGGTGAAACAAGCAACAAGAAGTGTTTGGGGGGAGTTTTGTTGGCCATACATAGGTCAGTCTCCTGCAGTACCTTCCCAACTACTGCACCTCTTGAGCAAGTTCATGTAACCATTGTAAGGTTCATTCTTGGCTGTGTGTACCTACCTCCAGATTCTAAATTTGAACTCTACTCAATGGTTGACGACACAGTTGAGGAGTATCCAGAAGCTGAACTGTGTGTGGCTGTTGACTTCAACCTAAGACCAGATGGACTAACAAGGACATTGCGCAGTGAGTATTCCTTCTGATGATGATTATGTCTCACTTCAAGTAATTCAAAAAATTGCTACAATCTCAAATTCTTGTGCTTTTCATAACTTTTTTCAGAATAATTTTATTCATAATGCAAATGGAGTTTTTCTCGATTTAGTTCTGTCCCACAAAACGCTAAGCGTTAATTATTGTGATCCTCTGGTTCCCATTGATGATCATCCATCATCCACTCCTTTGCTTTGACTTGCCTATCCCGCAATCATGTTACACATCTGTACTAGACCCGATTGCTATTACTATGATTTTAAATCTGCAAACTTTGTATCAATAAACAATTACTTGGGTGCTTTCTGCTGTTATACAATTTGGATGTAGATTCCATGTTAATGGCGAGCGGTATATTGATGGTGTTTATTTCCTTGAGCGACTACCTATAAAATTCTGGAGGGGGTCTATTGGCAAAAGAGAAACAAACTATTGAGGTTTACTAAATTATATTTTATTATGCTTAAAACCAAAATTAAAATAAGCAAATATCTTTCTATGTCTGATAGCCACTTCTATTTTTCCCAAATCAAATATTTCACAACCATACAAATTTCATTACAGGAAATATCCATACAAAAAAAAAACACCCTACTTCTTCTATTCTTAATAACTTATAAGTTTATACATTACAACACTTCCGATTCACATTCCTATTGAAACTACCCTTCACCTATATCTATAAATTCTTAAAACTCCTAAGTCATTTACTGACTGCTTATGCAAAATAATTATTTAAGTCATAATCCGACTCACTGGATTAAGTATATATCCATTACCAACTATATTTTTATAAAAACCTTACAATAATTTCTACATGAAAAAAAAAAACCTAATTCAAAATTCTTTAATACTTAAGGTCATCAATGGTACTTTATGAACAACTCTTTTACTTTTAGTGGTTCCCATCCTTCACTAAGGATCATTTTGAACAGAACAATTACTATACTCGGATTCCTAGCCAACAAACACAATTATTTAATTATTAATTCCTACTCAAAATCGAATATTGTTAAGAGCATTATAATTTTCCTTTGTTAATTCTTTGCAAAATTAATTAAAATGTCATTATACTCGAAGGCAATTAAAGTTATGCAATAAAGTTTTTACAGTCAAATTACTCAAGTTTTTATGCATTAAAGTTTCAATGTCATTTCACTTCTTATCATTCCGAATCATTTATAAAGTCAAAAAAAAACAATACTAATCACTAGAGTACTTACATTTAAATTGTCGTCACCCGATAAAATACTTAATTAATTTACTTCAAAAAATTCACCTCAAGCACGCACATAATGTTGAACGAATTTAAATGTTCTTTCTTTCACAATTTTCCGTTACTTTTTCAAAGATTCAATCAAACGCGTTTTCCCGAGGCAAAAATAAAAGAAACCCTTCGCGAATTTTATCCGGACTGACTCATTAGGTACTGTAGACTTTTAATTCAAAACTGGACTGAACTAAAAACTTAACTGATTCTTCTAAAATCGCTATATTTATATTATTTGATCCCCCAAAAATTTCTTTGTCCATCATTCATTAACCTTCCTTTTTTATTTGTTTAAAATCGAATAATTATGTCGCAATTTCCTGGTTTATCGGGGTCAACAGATTTCGTATAAGAATGTGAGGACATATAACTCAAAGAATACCGATACACGTGTTGACGTCTCGGCCATATATCACCGATTTAATTACTTTGGCCTCGCTTTTAATATTCTTATGGATTTGATTTATTTAGATAATGACTAAATAATAAGAAATTAATCGTTTTTAGATATTTTAATTAATTTGGGTCAATTTTTGTTGGCTTCATTTTCAATTCATTGATACTGATGTTAATTATTAGAGATTCATTTTTTTGATTATTTGTTTACATTTAATGTTTTTACAGTAAAGACATTGTAAATTACGGGTCTATTTCCCCGGATCATTACACATGCACATGTTAGATTAAGTTTGATCTATAATTTCATCAGTGTTAAAAAATGGCACTGCCGTCAATAAATAAATAAATGACCACCTCCAAGGGATAAAATCCTTGATAGAGAAAGTTGTAGGACACAACAAAACCATTGATTTGTGGACTTTGAAAAAGCTTTCGACTCAGTCCAGCATATAGCTCCATGTTAAAGTCTCTTACAGAGTTCATATTGACCAAAGCTGCATATAACCCTTCCTCAGAATATATAGCTGCAGTTAGAATGTATCATGGCGACAACATCTCTCCTGCTTTGTTACAAAGCGCCATGAAAAACGACAATTGGAAAAATATCGGAGTAATGGCAGGTATTTAAAAAATCTGAGGTTTGCAGACGACATTGTTCTTATTACAGACAGGATAGATCATGCATGTCAGCTACTCCAGGACCTCCAAAGTACTTGTGCACGTGTTTGGCCCAAAAATCAATTTCTCCAAAACACAGTTCATGGCCATAAACATTTCAACGTATGGCAAGCAAATAGAACAAGTTTATTCCGATAAATATTTGGGCCACGAGATTAAATTAGGAAGAGACCACACAGAATTGAACAGGAGAATAGGATTGACATGGGCAGCTTACGGAAAACGAGGGATGTCTTTAAATCAGATATTCCCATTTGCTTGAAGAGGAAGGTGTTTGATCAATGAGTGCTTCCAGTTCGAACATATGGAGCAGAAACATTGACTCTAACCGGAAAAGTTGTAAACAGAACCCAAGTGGCGCAGAGGGCAATGGAGAGATCAATGTTGAATATCTATATCCCTCAGAGACAAAGTTCCAAATCATATCATCAGGAAGAGAACCGGGGTTGAAAGAATTACAACGCTGAAATGGAACTGGGCAGGTCATGTTACCAGAGTCAGAGATGTGAGATGGACTAGGAAAATACTAGAATGGAGTCTTAGACACGATACACGATGCGTATCATAACCGAGGAGGTCCCCTCACAAAATGGTTGAACGACATCAAAGTGCATCCAGCCTAACTAGATGCATGGTGCTCAAGACTAGAGGCAGTTGAACCATTTACGGGAGGCCTGTGTCCTGTGTCCAGCAGTAGACTCGAAACGGCTGATGATGATGATGATGATGATGCTGATATTATTAACAAATTGACATTTGTCAAATAAATTTCTGTTGAAACAGAGAAACATTTACCTCTCGATAACAACCAAACGGCATAAGTTATTAAAAAAATTACAGAAATACTTTTCATAGCTTGAAGTTCCTAAGGCAAAGCCCTGATTTTCAAAAATGCAGTAAAACAATTCAATTGTAAATTTTGTCTGATAAAATAGCAATTGATTCTTGGATGCAAATCGCTCCATATCATTTTCCAACCTTTGATAAAGAATACCACAATCTGTGAGATGTTTTTTTAATTGTTCTTTACTTTTACAATTATTATTTGGAAGAATGTAAAATAAAAATATATTTAAGAAGAATGAATTTATAACCAAAACCCAGAATTAAATGCTAGATATACTTCACACACTTTTAAGGGCGGTTTAACTCTCAGTTAATTTGTGCAAACTGTTTTGCGCAAGCCCTTTTGTACAAAATTTGTGCAAATCTATAAAAGTATATTATTTAACGAGCGTACGTATAATGTACGCTGTCACCATTAACAGACGTAGATGAACATAATCGGAATTCAAAATACTACTCAAATTTGGTGCAAAATTTTATTGGCTGCTTCCATGTTATGGAATACGTATAAAAAAAAAATATTCCACGGGTGTGGAATATGAGATTCATATTCCACAGATGTGTAATATGAGTTACATTATGTAGTTACTATCGTAATACACTCAACCATAACAATCGTCAAAATTATCAGGGTATTTTGACTTAAGTACGTTTACACTGTCAGATAACTGCACCAATCTCAGTTAATTTTCAAGACGAAACAGATTCCGCACAAGCCAAATTTTTGAACTGCGCAAATCAATGATTTATTCTATTTACCTACATTTAACGATTTACTTGCACAATCCGATTTGCACAAATCAACCGAGAATTAAACCGCCCTTTAAAGCCTCTGTTTCTTCATCAACGATTATTATAACTTCAAACGCTGGTTTAAACAAATAAGCTTAAGACCAGAAAAAAAAAAGTTTTGATAGAGAAACTAGTCATTACCGAACAGATGAAAATACTTTCAATTGGAGCAATTTTCCTACGCGCGCAACAATTTTTTTTAATTGTAAATAGTTTCAAAACAATGTAAATAATTCGACTACTGTTGGCAATAAATATACCGAGTCTACTCTACAAGTAGTTATTTTATGTAAGTAACTGTAGATCGTGTACTAACTTTTAAAAATAATACTTATTGACGGTCGCTTAGGGCAACAAACATTGAAATAATAGTCTTCTTTTCCTAATATTTAAGAAACAATGATGTATTGGTACTTTGCTCAGACACTTTAAAAATTTGTTTTTATTATTTTGCTCTAAGTGGCCTAAAGTTATTTTTGCACCAGGGTTTTTGTACAGCACGATATATGAATATTTTTGATGTTGAAAATCTAGCTCAATTTTAAATGTGCAAGTTTCCTATGTTTTTTTGACCCTTAATGTTGACATCTTAGATAAATGAATAAAATTTGAATTTAAAGTTTTCGAAAAGTTTTCAACGCTTTGTGGATTTACTTTTGAACTTAGCTAGGTATTATATAATTCAATTAAGTATGTGCTCTCTTACTATATAACTTAATTTCAAGTATAGGGTGGGCCAATTTGGACACTTAATGTGTTTACAAATAGCAAAAGATTATTTTTTTCCCCAAAAACTGTTAGGGATAAATTCTATGTTATCCGCACCAATAAAGATTTCATGAAATTTGAGCTTCAAAGTGCAGGGCTTTTTTTTTACATTAATCTCAAAGGATGAAAAAGAAGCGAAATACGTAATTTCATCCGTTTGTCAGGTGTTTATTTAATAATAAATCTATCATCGATTTACATTTTCAAATATTATTTCCAAAATTATAAAAAATATTCGTTCCATAAGGACTCAAGTTTGTTTGACTACTTCGCTTAGGCTACAACCTTGCCCTGGGGATTGAAAGATCCACTTGGTACATAATATAAAGTAAAATTAATTTATGAACATTTAAACCAAGGAGATATCTATTATCAACAGTTTAAATTGTTATTAAAATCTCAACAGTATGTTGCCATTTTTTATTGACCATTATTTCCTATTAATTAATAGTTTGTAATATTTATTAGTTGTTATTTATTCTGTGATATTTTTTAAAATTATTGTAAGTTATCATTAAAAAAAGCATCAAACATTTCAATGTTATACTTATTATTATGAATTCTGTTGTCGAAATTAAATATAAATTTAAAATTGTTCACTTTCAAATAACAAAAATATTTATAAAGTATTTCATAAACTTGCACAACCTTTTTGTAACACTTTGGTATTATTGGGTCATTCTTTCGAAATCAATTTTAAGAATACTCATATAGGTAAAAATTATTATTAAATATGGAACAGAAAGTTTATTAATTATAAAATTATATTTGTGATGTATGTGTAAATTATAATAAAAAATAATAATAACAAAATGCATTTTGTCTTCTGCCAGATCTAAAGTCACTCTCTATATGCGTTATTGAATTTCATACTTCGAAGGTCGTGGAGAGAAAAGTGGAATGTAATACTGCGTTGCATAATAAAAAAAAGAGATGTTTTGACGTTTTGAGACCTTACCTGAATTGTTATTCACTCGTTCATCAAGTTCTTTGGAGACCGGAGAGGATTATCTGGATTAGGCAGAAGAATCACTCGCGCCAATCACGTTGGAAGAGATTGCGCGTTGCGCGGGTTTTTTTTTGTAAAAGATAGTTTCTAAAGTTTGGGTCAAACTGAAAGTTTGCACTTAGTTATACGTAGACACTTAAATTCTAGTTGCGGGTTGTCTATAAAAAAGAGGTTGGTAGGCGGTTGGCTAGATTAAACTACCATGTACAGGGTATTTGATTATATTTGGCACCATACCTACAGCCTTTACTATTTAAGATAGAAAAAAATTGTAAATACAAAACTTGACAGTTTTTTTCTATATTTTCTTTTAACGTTATCAGAAAAAACAAAATCGCATCGGAAAATGGAGAAACGTAGACAACTTCGACTTTTTTAAGTGGAGGGTGTTCCAAATATACAGGGTGGCCCATTAAAAAAAGTCGAAGTTGCTTACATTTCTCCATTTTCCGATGCGATTTTGTTTTTTCTGATAACGTTAAAAGAAAATTTAGAAAAAAAACTGTCAAATTTTGTATTTAAAATTTTTTTCTATCTTAAATAGTAAAGGCTGTAGGTATGGTGCCAAATATAATCAAATACCCTGTACGCTCTACTTGTTGATTGATTGTTAATATCGGAGGTAGGCGACAAAATTTATTTAGGAATTTCGGAAACGCACACTTGCCCTAGGAGGCCTCAAAACAGTTTTCTAACAAAACCGTAAAATGGGGTGAATAGATTCGCTGTGGTGAATAGGATCAAAAAGAGGGAGTTTATCAGTTTAGTTTCCGAAACCTCAATATCGTAATGAATGCTTTCTATTTGAGTTTGATTGGTTGCCTAACTCGATATCTCATAAAGGTTACCAATATTTTGTCATTCAGCAGTTGGTAGCACTGTAAACCAGGCCTTAATTAGAAGTACTGTCAGTCATCTGTTTTCATTGTCGCCAAAACTTTGTCTGTAAATACGAATTTGAGAAGCATATATTGAGAGTAGTTGGCCTAATTAACTCCAACAGGTTAGTAACTAAGGCACACAAAATTATTTTAGTTTATTCGTAAGCAAAAACAAAATTGAAAAATATTTTCTTTTTCGTTGCACGATTTTCAGGTTATCGAGGTGAATAGGATCAAGAGCTGGGGTCAATAGGATCAAGGGCTGGGGTCAATAGGATCAAGGGCTGGGGTCAATAGGATCAAAATGCCTAGAGAATATAAACCCAAAGCAGGACAAAAACTTTACAAGAAACCTGATCCAAACATCATTGAAGAGGCTAAAAATGATGTTAATAACAACGGGTATAGTATTCGACAAGCCGCTATAAAACACAAAATTCCTTACACCGTTCTGCAAAGACGCCTCGCAAATGTGAATGTTAAAAGACAAGGAGGTGAGTGTGTTGTTAAGTGAAGCCGAAGAGAAATGTATTGCGGAAAAATTACTTACATGCAGTGAGTGGGGCTACCCCTTAGATACCTATGATTTAAGATTGGTTATCCAACAATATTTAAATAGAGCTGGTAGGGTGGTGCCCCGTTTCAAGGACAATCTTCCTGGTAAAGAGTTCGCATATAGCTTTTTGAAACGACATTCGCATATGCTGTCGGAGAGAATGTGCCAAAATATAAAACGAGCCCGGGCTGGTGTTACGAGGGTAACAATAACGGCTCCGTGTCATTTGCGCGACAGCTGTTTGCGCGAGGGAGAAAAGCGCGATACGAAAAGCGCGAGGGACAAAACCGCGACGGAACAAAAACGCGACTGGAGAAAAGCGAGAGTAACAAAAACGCGACTGGATAAAAGCGCGAGGGACAAAAACGCGAGGTACAAAAGCGCGACAGAACAAGATCCCGACTGAACAGAAGCGCGAGAGACAAAAACTCGAGGGGCAAAAGCGCGACGGAACAAAAACACGACTGAACAGAAGCGCGAGGAACAAAAACGCGACTGAACAAAAGTGCGAGGGACAAAAACTCGAGAGACAAAATCGCGACGGAACAAAAACGCGAGGGACAAAAGCGCGACAGAACAAAAACGCGACCTGAATGAAGAGTGATGGACAAAAACGCGACTGGATAAAAGCGCGTTGGACAAAAGCGCGAGGAACAAAAACGCGACTGGAATAAAGCGCGATTGGATGAGAACGCTCGACTATCTACGAGGAATATAGAACGCTTTCCAAAATACAAGACATTAAGACATTCTCAGTGGCTCCGGTTCAAAAGAGCGATATTTGAAATAGTGACATTAAAAAGGCGACATATTTTTAAAGCGATACATCAAAATAGCGATATTCAAAACAGCGACTTATTAAAATAGCGACATTCAAAACAGCGACATGTGAAAAAAGTAGCGACATATCAAAAAAGCGACATTCGAAAGCGCGATACTTGAAACAGCGACATTGCAGAAGAGCGACATATGTAAAGAACTAGATTTAAAACAGCGACATCAACAACGGCGACCTCTAAGCAAAACAGGGACACATCAAATTGTATCAATAATAATCAAAAAAATGCAGACTACTCGAACTAACCCGTTCCCCTAGTGCGATCTTGTCCTCGTAAGTTAGCATTTTATTTGAAAAACAAGGTTGACATTATTTTAAATAAAATGCTAACTTACGAGGACTAGATCGCACTAGGCGGACGGGTTAGTTTGGGTTAGTTTGAGTAAGTCTGCAATAAAATGCTAACTTACGAGGACTAGATCGGACTAGGTGGACGGGTTAGTTTGGGATAGATTGAGTAAGTCTGCAATAAAATGCGAACTTACGAGGACTAGATCGCACTAGGCGGACGGGTTAATTTGGGTTAGATTGAGTAAGTCTGCAATAAAATGCTAACTTACGAGGACTAGATCGCACTAGGCGGACGGGTTAGTTTGGGTTAGATTGAGTAAGTCTGCAATAAAATGCTAACTTACGAGGACTAGATCGCACTAGGCGGACGGGTTAAATTGGGTTAGATTGAGTAAGTCTGCAATAAAATGCTAACTTACGAGGACTAGATGGCACCAGGCGGACGGGTTAGTTTGGGTCAGTTTGAGTAAGTTTGCAATGAAATGCTAACTTACGAGGACTAGATTTTACTAGGCGGACGGGTTAGTTTGGGTTAGATTGAGTAAGTCTGCAATAAAATGCTAACTTACGAGGACTAGATCGCACTAGGCGGACGGGTTAGTTTGGGTTAGTTTGAGTAAGTTTGCAATAAAATGCTAACTTACGAGGACAAGATCGCACTAGGCGGACGGGTTAGTTTGGGTTAGATTGAGTAAGTCTGCGTTTTTTTGATTATTATTGATTCAATTTGTTCATCACTTATTCTATAGTTCTAAGTAGGACAACATGATAAACTTTATTAACAAAAAAACCAAATAAATTAGTTAAAAATACAAATTATGGAATGCTAAGTTTAAATGGTTGAGTTTAAAGCTACTGTTTTAAGGTGATTTTGTACGTTGGAGAAAGGGTATTCTTGGACTAAGTTTAACAATCGAGAATTAACTTGCTCATATTTTGAACTCGTCGCTGGGGGCTTTCTATACCCGGTCCTTTATTTGTTGACAGCCATTTCAACAACGCTTTTGTCCCTCGCGTTTCTGTTCCGTCGTGCTTTTGTCCCTCGCGCTTTTGTTTCTCGCGCTTTTATCCAGTCGCGTTTTTGTTCAGTCGCGCTTCTGCTCTTCGCGTTTTTGTTCCGTCGCGCTTCTGTCCCTCGCGCTTTTGTTCCGTCGCGCTTTTGTCCCTCGCGCTTTTGTTCCTCGCGTTTTTATCCAGTCGCGTTTGTGTCCATCGCGCTTTATTCCAGTCGCGTTTTTGTTACGTCGCGGTTCTGTCCCTCATGTTTTTGTTCCGTCGCGCTTTTGTTCCTCGCGTTTTTATCCAGTCGCGTTTGTATCCATCGCGTTTGTATCCATCGCGCTTTTTTCCTGTCGCGTTTTTGTTCCGTCGCGCTTTTGTCCCTCGCGCTTTTCGTATCGCGCTTTTCTCCCTCGCGCAAACGGTTGTCGCGCAAATGACACAGAGCCAACAATAACAGAGTATTTCGAACGCCTTTCTGAAGAACTAGAAGGTATTCCAGCCAGCAACATCATAAACTACGATGAGACCAACCTTTGCGATGACCCAGGACGAAAAAAAATTATTGCAAAGAGGGGATGCAAATATCCGGAGCGAATTATGAACCACAGTAAGTCGTCAACTTCAATCATGTTCGCTGCTTCTGGTAGTGGAGATTTACTTCCATGCTACGTCGTCTACAAAGCCTTGAACATGTATGACTCTTGGACTACTGGAGGGCCACCCCGTACAAGATATAATCGTAGTAAATCGGGATGGTTTGACAGCTATTGTTTCGAGGATTGGGTACATTCAATCGCCATACCATACTTGAAGAAGTTGCCTGGCAAAAAGATATTAATTGGTGACAATTTATCGTCGCACCTATCAGTACAATCGATACAAGAGTGCTCAGTGAACAATATTACTTTTATATTTTTACCCAGCAACTCCACCCACTTGACGCAACCCTTAGATGTTGCCTTTTTCAAGCCATTGAAGGTTGCATGGAGAAAGATTGTTGAATTCTATAAAAAAGGACCTGGAAGAAAGGAATCTGGTATTCCTAAAAACGTCTTTCCAGGTTTATTAAGGAAGCTATTAGAATCGATTGAAGACAACAA